TCTCTTGTGGCGAGTTGTTTAAAGACGTCAAGTATAGTCATGTACTATTGTGTTTCTCTTGTGGCGAGTTGTTTAAAGACGTCAAGTATAGTCATGTACTGCTGTGTTTCTCTTGTGGCGAGTTGTTTAAAGACGTCAAGTATAGTCATGTACTGTTGTGTTTCCCTTGTGGCGAGTTGTTTAAAGACGTCAAGTATTGTCATGTACTGCTGTGTTTACCTTGTGGCGAGTTGTTTAAAGACGTCTACAGCTGTAATATCGTCGCAAGTGTGACATCATTCCGATTCACATGATAATAAGGTTTGGATGAAGTCGCCCGCCCAGATGACATACACAATGCGATGGTCCTCGTCAAATGATATTTCACTTGTTCACACATAATGTTCATTGTGTCTGATATTTCTAACCGTGTGAGTGATAGGATCATAAGACCTAATAAGAAGTTATCAGATTTCGGGTGGAACATAGTATGTTTCAGGGATAATCTCAGTATGTAGCGATAATGACGAGTTCATACATGACTGTGTTTATTCCCAATATATTTGCCATCCCAAACACACGCCTCTTATCTGTCCCATTAGCTTCAGTCCGAGTATTATGTCAGCAGGTCAGTGATGTGTCAGTGACAGCGGAAACCTGTCTCTTAGTCAGGGGCATGTCACTACGGTTGGGCTTCCAGCACTATATCTGTGCTTGTCATTGGTTCTATGCTTCCATTTCAACCTGAACGTAATCTTAGGAAGTAAAGACTGCGTAACCACATAAGTCCCTTGTGCTGAATATGATATGACAAGGTAACTCATACTATGACTAACTCTTTTAATGTACACCCAAGTTGCAATGATCTTTGCTACGTGTAGACCATATGTTTAATCATTTCTCTGTATAATTGTATTGTTTTTATAAATGTGAGAACTGTTTGTAAATACTACCACGACGTCAATGGTAAGTAAATTCATAATGAATTTTGCCACAGCTGCATTGGCAGTGAAGTAAGTATCGGATGTTTTGGTTCCAAATCTGAAAAGGTCTCGTGGTAACTGAGCTCGGTTTGAAGGTGATCAAGAAATGTGCTTTAGTGACTGTAGAAGTAGCCCGGATTCAAACACTTCCATGCCACAGTCCAAACTGTGGAAGCCGTTGGCATCAGTGCCACCAAATATCGACAAAGTCGATTCATCGGTTGCATCCGGGATCATCTCCGTTTTCTATGATTGGAAAATGGATAATAACAAAGCATATTATTTTGATGCAATTATGGAATGAAATTAAGAATTAGAGATGTGTAGTCCCTGGGAAGTACAAGCTAGGTGCTGAAGGCGTTCATGCCAGACTACTCCTGATTTCTGTGTGTTCGGTAAAGTGTATAAAGCTCTACTTACATGAAGGATCACGTCACAGCATATGCGTATGTGGGGAACCATTTTGACAGCCAAAAAGACCTCTGCTAAACTGGGATGTAATCCCTCAAACCTCATTTGAATAACTTAAGATCAAGTCTAACTCTGTAAGACTATGAACTGAATAATTAATAAATGAATGCAATGGTCCCATGTCGACATACCGACAAAGTTATGCCAGGAAATGGGTAAAGTTTGATTTTTTTCCCCGTTATGCTTTGAATGGTATTGCAGCATCGACCCGACAAATGTGTATCAGAGAGACGACCCGTTGGAAGTCTTTATGGTGCTCTGTAGAATATTGCATATAGGATTAATTGCCATCACACCACTTCTAGTTTACATGGAGTACTTGCTAAATCACATTTTGATAGATATCACTGGGTGAGTGAACCAATGTCTTTTCACGCGACACCGAGGAATACTTACGTCTCAGTAAGCAATGCATGCAGCTCTGACAATCCATCGTCAGGGAAATGTATCTACCTCATGTAGTCATACACATTCTATATATACTGCCAGAGTATATTTAGGCGAATAATTTTCAGTAAGAAACGAGATAATACTGACTTCATATAAAGAGCTCTGTATGCAGGATATAACTTATTTCATGTGAACTTTTAAAAAAATTATGAATCGAGTAAAGTAACCTGTGCCAAAAGGCACGAGGACATATCCACAAAGTGGGCATGTTGACACGCAATCAACACAGACATTGTACAAGACCACTATCAATCCAGATGTACTACAAGTAGCCTGACCCGGGACACACAGTGTGGTATCAATTTGCCGTCCTCTACACCTTGAAATATACAGCAAGACAAGACACAAGAAGGGTTGTCAAGAAGGGATCATGATTGTGGAAACACGTGTTGTCGATTTAAAACGACTGTTCCCATGTTAGTCTAAAGTGATAAATTTAGAACGGCAAATGTAATTGAGATGTTTACAAAGATTCCGAACCGTTAAAACAAACTGAAAAACATTTAAGGTATTAAAAGTGCAACTTTGAGATGCAACAGTACAGGGGAGCCCAAGTGTGGTGTAGTCGGCGGCAATACCTGAATGTGGGGAAACATGCAGGGCTGCACACAAAAACACATTTCAAATTTCAATGAAAGCCCAAGTTGTTTTAAAGCAACAAAAAAAGACATGTAGGGGAAAAAGCTTTAACAGATACGAGGTTTACATTGCAGGGATGGCGGGTGTAGTTATTGATTGATGAGTGTGTGTGGAAGACATAGAGATACATTAAAACACTTCGTTGCCACATTTGGTCCTGAGGTCAAACAGTAGAGACATAGGACTACAGCAGTCCTCTCTGTGACAACAAGACCTGTAGGTGCTGAATGTATACTGTTGTCTGGGAATGTATGCTTGATGCAGTTCAATGTTCAAAGTACGAACCAGATCACTTCTTGGAACTTCAGACTATTTAAAACAATTGACAGTTTTGAAAACTGGAATGCCACTGAGACGTGAAGAACACGTTTCTGTGTATATAGAATGGCAGCAGATTGATTTTCAATTGACTTCAGCCTGTATAACATATGGTGGGAAGATGCGCAGAAGAAAATAGAAAAAATGTCAATGTAGTATTTCCTTCTGTCTATTTGCTAGAAAATGCGCAAAGTTCACATAGTTTAATTTCCTAAATCGAAGGACACAAACAGAGACAAATATTATCAATGTAAAGTATTTTTAGAAATAACCGTTCGATATATGGAACGTCAACTCCAACATCCAGGCAGCTGAGGTTCCATTATCGTACTCAGCAGGTTCCACTGTGCGCAACAGGCAAGATGAAAATAACAGTTAATTTCATTGTATATCAAATATTAAAAAATATGTTTGCAAAGATGCACTGGCAACCACATACGAGTGTTTACTGTATGTATTTCTGTGTTTTCTAAAATTGGTCACATTAGGATGACACGTTGTTGTTTACCCGTGATGCAAGCAGCTTGGTAAGGAATGAAGTATTGTCACTGGGGAGGGAAGGGCTCACCCTGTGCGATATTTCCAGGAATAGTGTTATATATGAAAGCATTACTGACAAAAAAGAGGGTTGAGGATGCTCACTGTCAACTCAGGCAAGGGAAGTCAGATAACTCTGTTCCCAAGGGTATTGATAGGTACGTGATCACCCTTTCCCCCTGATTACCGTTAACCATTGTGAAGTACTCACATTGTTGCACTATTTCTTACAACTCTTATCTCGGAATATACCTGTCGTTTTATCGTCTGCTTCAAATCAACCAAAACAATACCTCACACATGTAGACTCAAGAACTAGGGCTGGACAAACATCTGGATCACTAGGTTTGCCTTCTACAGCTAGGTGTTGAAATATGATACTCGTCACATATCCTGCCATTGAGTTTTCACGTCTTTCCTGGAGGACATTTGACGTGAGTAAATATGAAACACGTTTTGTACAGGTATTTCAGATGTCACCTTTTCCGATCGACTCACTCCTGGAGATATGTTGCAGGTTCCAGACGGACGGGCAGCGCGAGACAAACAGATAATTTATAAAAGAGACAAACACTACGCGCTCGCGATTCGCGCATAAACTGCTGACGACTGAATTCGGAGATAACGATGACGTCCTTGATTCCCAATACCGAGGACCATCCGACACCCGCCATGTTTGAACACGTGGAGAACAAATCAACGTTAAATACAAATAATTATTGCAGATCACTGTATTCAACAACAACTGCACAGAGATATATTTTCTATTTTATTGCATTTTCTATGGCAAGATAATCAACATTCTATGAAGCACTTGAATATATCACTTATGAAAACTATTAGTTTGTGATCAGGATGAAAAAAATACTACAAAAGAACGTCGGCGACCGTGAAACCACACTCTCGCCGTGCCTGGTGGCGTGATTCGACCCTGTGTGAACATATTTGCGATTCTTCCGCATCTATTTGTCCACTGCCTCAAATCTATAATGCCGCACTCTGGCTCCCCTAATCGCTGACACGATACTGTAGAGCGCCTCTACAAGCACCGATCAGTAAATTTGCTATACAATTGGCCACGTGGTCCAGGGGGCGGGTTTTCGGGGCTCTTTCACGTGCCCCCAAGAGATATGGTGTATTGGTCTGGTTTTCAGAGAAAGAACTAACAGTGGATGCCACAGGTGACACACCAACCTGTTGCGATTTAATGAAGATTCCGTGATTCGATTGATCAGTGTAACATTAATTGGGGGCCAGAAGGCTACACATGGTCTTCATTGAGAAACTAGAGACGACGGGAAGGTGGACGATATAACCACTGCCGCTGCAGGCATTGATTGTGACATTCTGACAGAGAACTGTCACGTATTCCCATCTCCTCGCACATCTGCCGAGTCGTGCCCCGCATTACTTCCACTCTCTACATTATTTCGTTATGACTGTGACAGAGGTTATGATTGCGGTAAACACTCCAGCAGTTCTTTTACTCTAGGATAATATTTCGTATAACGGAGACTTGGTGGACTTGTGTTAAAGATGCCTGCTTCTTTACAGGATGCGCTTATGTATCGGACACTTGACCGACCCATGCAAACTCAATATAAGAAGTTCGAATGGGCTAAAATGCATGACCGTGGACTAAGTGCCAATGATCGGAAACGTATGGCGCTTGCGTCAGGACATATACCCCTTCCAGGGGGAATGTCACCTCGGATAGCCCGACGGGTGGCTCCTGGTCAGCCCAAACCCAAGGCCCAGCAGACCGTGGCGTCGGTCAGGAGGAACCTGAGCATAGGCCGGGAGATGAGTCGAGACTTTCTCACCCTGGCTTGCTATAATGCTATAGCCACTGGTCAAATGAGCATTCTCAAGGCCATATACAAGACCGGCAAAGCACCCCAGGTGGATAAGAATGGAAACACTCCGCTACACGTGGCTGCTAAGTGTGGTCAACTGAGGTCACTGAGGTGAGTACTGGCCAGTACTTTAATACTTTTAATACCTTCACTTTCATTCTTACAAGCCATTAAGCAGCGCAGAATTTCTGCGTATATTTAATTCTTTACTTATTCTTTTGTTGAACAACGATAAGCACGTACCATTCCAAAGACTGTCTCTGTTGCATCATTCACGTCACCAGCTGCAGCTACTGTACAATTGTTCAAGGACTTCATGCTCCTCCTAAATGTGTGCTTCATTAATCATGCTATATTTCTTTAACCGTACCAGTTCTAAAACTTATACCTTCAACCTCTATTCGTGGGCAATCTTTTCTTCATTTCTCAAAACGAACATAACGGTGAGTATTTTTGCAAAGTAAGACGGGCTTTCAGTCTGAAATTACGTTGCAAGTACCCAGAATCTAAGCATCGTGCTCGTTGGTCCTGAAAGCAATGAGACAGAATTTGACCTTGCCACTCTTAGAGAATGTCATTGTGAGATACGGCGATCTCATGTGACACCTGGCCTCAAGTGTTGCTCTTCATCGGTTGATGGCGGTCATATAACGGGATATTAATACCCTAGCTTTAGTTAACAAAATAAACCTGGTAATTGTTGAAGTCATTATTCTGACTCCACCTCAGCAGTATATCAGCTCCGTCTGATATTCCAGGCACTGGTTACAATGTAGTGTAGGTCGGCGGAGACATATTCCTACAGCAATCCTGCCAAGCCAATAGCTAAGAAGTTACTACCTATTGCTTGTATGATGCCAGGTAGCGTGTAGACCATATCGTAGATCTGGCAATAAACCCCCGGCCACACTGACGTACGAGGAGTTGGAACATATTGGGGTTTGAATCATGCAAGGTGCTAGATAAACAGCTGGCATGTCAGAACACCTTGTGAATGTTTGCTTCGAGGTTTGAAACTAAGATATGACAAACACAGTGGTATCTGTTAAAGCTAGTTACACGATTATATGTTGTTAAAGACACAAAGTGTTGACTTGCTTAAACGAACATATTCTACGTTAGTTGCTCAAAGTGCGCCTTGACTCGTAAAGAGCTTGATACGGAAGATTTAGTCATGGTTTTCACATACAACGCCTAATCCTAATCAAAATAGATCTGCTTTAGTTCAAAAGAATTTGCCGTTTCGAAATGTCTAACTTGTATCATGTCTATCCAAACTTTAGTCGGTTGATATCAAAGGAATGCCTATCGAAATACTCTGATCGAGAGGCTTCTGGATAGGTCTACACAATGTATTGTACTAACTAATTCTGCATCAGTGGAGGAAAAGATGAAGAGAAGATAAGTAAGTCCATTTAGTTTCCTAAAAGCGCAGGTTTGTGAAAGATAAGCTGAAATGACACTCATCACGCAGAATGGCTGAAAGTCGTCAAGTTTCCTAAATGCACGCATTGAGCCCCACAACTCCATGAATAACGTACATGCTGCTGATCGATACTGTATACCATTCCGAGTAGACACTGGGCAATGTGCCGACATATCACCAAGGTTACCAGGTGAAGAAAAGAGGTAATATTAAAGATCAAGTCTTAGTATGACTAACATACTTGTGATCATCTGACGTATCCAGTTAATGGAGGCCACCAAGGCATCACTGTGGACGCTAGTCTCCACGTCATACAATGTACCGTAGTCATTGCTGCTGAGGCCAACCAAGGGTACATTCACTCATTAAGCCATTATCTTACCACTGTAACGTGTCAGAGATTTTGGAAATGTAACTACGAGCAACCACGTGACATAAGACTAAGTTTTAAACTTACTTTTTTACCGTCTTTACTTTAATGGCTGGGTCAAACGCTTGCTCGTGCTCATATGTCCTTCCTAAAATCTTTCAAATACTAGTATACTTTTCAAAGCAGCGAGCATAATATCTGCCGAGGAGCCAGCTAAAATACCTTTTGTTATTGTCGCTAGGGGTGCTCCGGTGTCACGAGTCAAATATTTCACACTGTTTGTTATTTTAATGAAAATAGTTATAACGACAACAATGTTTCAGTTGATATAGAAAACACCCCACAGCTAGTGGAAGTCCCACTGCGTTCTGTGTGTGTGATGGCTCAAGACAAGATGACATATACTGCTGAGTATAGAAACTAGAACTTCAAGAAATGGATACGATCAAACACTACAGATATTTCAAAACGTTACTAGGTTGAAAACGGTCGCCGAAACATTGTAAACTTAAATCCAAATGAAAACTGTATAAAATACATGAGCCTGGAATAGCCATTAATTTGTTGTTTGTTTCATGTTGAGCCTCCATCAAGCGTGGGTACTTTCCTCTAGCCTCGGTTTGCTTTCATTGAGTCACTAGGACCATGTGATCAAGCCAGCCCAGACATGTTGTGGATACGGCGTTCTCTCTAACTGTAAACATTTGTTCTGTGGCATGATCATGGTTGATTAGCATAGTAAACAAAGAAGCATGACAATCTGAAGCTGACAAATTCTTTAATATCAACTGAAATTGGGGAGACAAAAAGGCATGGTAACTTTGGTAAAGGATAGCAGTGTTGACGCATTTGGTTTTGGGATCTCACACTGTGCATAGCTGGAATATTGTAAAACCACACACTCTCACTCATGTTGGGCATTGTGTTATAAACCGACATAAGACAGATAAACAAATAGCGCATAGCACACAACAATATACACATGCAGAAGTGTAAGTCTAGTCTGCTTCAGGTATTAGTTCTATGTAAACACAGCTTGTAGTGAGGTTTCTGTAACTGACTATATTAGAATATTGTCTGAAGGCAGTACTGTGGATGCTGAACCATCTATAACTGACTATATTAGAATAGTGTCTGAAGGCAGTACTGTGGACGCTGAACCATCTATAACTGACTATATTAGAATAGTGTCTGAAGGCAGTACTGTGGACGCTGAACCATCTATAACTGACTATATTAGAATAGTGTCTGAAGGCAGTACTGTGGACGCTGAACCATCTATAACTGACTATATTAGAATAGTGTCTGAAGGCAGTGCTGTGGACGCTGAACCATCTATAACTGACTATATTAGAATAGTGTCTGAAGGCAGTACTGTGGACGCTGAACCATCTATAACTGACTATATTAGAATAGTGTCTGAAGGCAGTACTGTGGACGCTGAACCATCTATAACTGACTATATTAGAATAGTGTCTGCAGGCAGTACTGTGGACGCTGAACCAGTACTGTACTGTGGACGCTGGACGCTGAACCATCTATAACTGACTATATTAGAATAGTGTCTGCAGGCAGTACTGTGGAACCATCTATAACTGACTATATTAGAATAGTGTCTGAAGGCAGTACTGAACCATGGATCTATAACTGACTATATTAGAATAGTGTCTGCAGGCAGTACTGTGTGAACCATCTATAACTGACTAGAATAGTGTCTGCAGTACTGTGGACGCTGAACCATCTATAACTGACTATATTAGAATAGTGTCTGAAGGCAGTACTGTGGACGCTGAACCATCTATAACTGACTATATTAGAATAGTGTCTGAAGTCAGTACTGTGGACGCTGAACCATCTATAACTGACTATATTAGAATAGTGTCTGCAGGCAGTACTGTGGACGCTGAACCATCTATAACTGACTATATTAGAATAGTGTCTGCAGGCAGTACTGTGGACGCTGAACCATCTATAACTGACTATATTAGAATAGTGTCTGCAGGCAGTACTGTGGACGCTGAACCATCTATAACTGACTATATTAGAATAGTGTCTGAAGGCAGTACTGTGGACGCTGAACCATCTATAACTGACTATATTAGAATAGTGTCTGCAGGCAGTACTGTGGACGCTGAACCATCTATAACTGACTATATTAGAATAGTGTCTGCAGGCAGTACTGTGGACGCTGAACCATCTATAACTGACTATATTAGAATAGTGTCTGCAGTACTGTGGACGCTGAACCATCTATAACTGTACTGTGGACGCTGAACCATCTATAACTGACTATATTAGAATAGTGTCTGAAGGCAGTACTGTGGACGCTGAACCATCTATAACTGACTATATTAGAATAGTGTCTGCAGGCAGTACTGTGGACGCTGTCTACTGTGGAATAGTGTCTGAACCATCTATGTGGAACCATCTATAACTGACTATATTAGAATAGTGTCTGAAGGCAGTACTGTGGACGCTGAACCATCTATAACTGACTATATTAGAATAGTGTCTGAAGGCAGTACTGTGGACGCTGAAACCATCTATAACTGACTATATTAGAATAGTGTCTGAAGGCAGTACTGTGGACGCTGAACCATCTATAACTGACTATATTAGAATAGTGTCTGAAGGCAGTACTGTGGACGCTGAACCATCTATAACTGACTATATTAGAATAGTGTCTGAAGGCAGTACTGTGGACGCTGAAAAATCTATAACTGACTATATTAGAATAGTGTCTGAAGGCAGTACTGTGGACGCTGAAAAATCTATAACTGACTATATTAGAAAAGTGTCTGAAGGCAGTACTGTGGACGCTGAACCATCTATAACTGACTATATTAGAATAGTGTCTGAAGGCAGTACTGTGGACGCTGAACCATCTATAACTGACTATATTAGAATAGTGTCTGAAGGCAGTACTGTGGACGCTGAACCATCTATAACTGACTATATTAGAATAGTGTCTGAAGGCAGTACTGTGGACGCTGAACCATGAACCAATAGTGTCTGAAGGCAGTACTGTGGACGCTGAACCATCTATAACTGACTATATTAGAATAGTGTCTGAAGGCAGTACTGTGGACGCTGAACCATCTATAACTGACTATATTAGAATAGTGTCTGAAGGCAGTACTGTGGACGCTGAACCATCTATAACTGACTATATTAGAATAGTGTCTGAAGGCAGTACTGTGGACGCTGAACCATCTATAACTGACTATATTAGAATAGTGTCTGCAGGCAGTACTGTGGACGCTGAACCATCTATAACAGTAACACTTTCTACTGACGTAAAAATCAGTATACATT